GTGCTTTGTGTTTGATCCTGTCCCATGCTTTCTTGTCAGTGCCGCTTGCACAATTGAATGCAAGTGTATTGGCTTGATTACCCATCTTTTAATTCAAGAAAAATAAACAAACATACTAAAATGTAGCAATCCCTTTCTCTTTGTATGTGTTGTTACATCCCACCTAAGAGACAGTATCCATGAGTGGATTGTCATCTGCTTCATTACCTCCCTTTTGGTGATCATCGGAACTGAGAAGTTTGATATGCTTATTGATTATAGGAATCTGGTAAGTTGTTAACCTTGCCTCACATGGTGGATCACATGATTTGATTTTTGGAGCAATCACCTGTCACTGGTTTTGGGAACATGGTGCACAAAGTTTATGAGCCATTATTGCATGGACAATGTATGTTATGGACATTTTTTTTGTTTATCAAATAGGTATTAATCACTTTTTTTTATTGGCTTATTGCACATTTTCATCTAATACACCATTGATAGAAAACGCTATTTATATCAATTATTAGAATGAGTAGTGCCCTTTTATATTTTTATTGTATTTTAAGTGTGTGTTTGCAGAAGGTGGCTTCTCTTGATACTATTTTTAGAGGTCAGGTTGGTGCCCCCCTTTTTTTAACATCAATTAAAGTGGTTATGAAGACTGAAGGTTTTTAACTCTACTGTATTATATGCAGTAAGGTTGAAAAAGAAAGGGGAGAGGGGAGGGAGGAGAGCAAACACACGTTAACTCTCCTCCCCTTCTTGTACTGACCTGAAAGCATCATGTATGATCTTCCAGGTCTCCACTGACAGATTTCCAGCAAACAAAGCTGGGAAAGAATGTATGTAATACAGTGCGATGTGCACTGCATTACACTCAGTGGAGCACAGGGGAGACCCTGCATGTCTCAAAGTGGACCTGTCACAAAAGAAAAAAAAAAAAAAAAATCACACAGGGGACTTTTTGGCCCCTATGTGATATAAAAAAAAGTTAAGTTAAATTGTAAAAAAAATTACAAAAAAGGTACACCCAAGCACCTAACCCCTCTAAAAAAAAAAAAGTTTTGAACCACTCTCACATATATACGCACAAATGTAAACGTACACATCAGGTTGCCTATGCGTGAAGACGTCAATTGGCATACACCGTGCACGCCAGAATGAGAGCAATAATTCAATCACTAGACCTCCTCCGTACTGCTAAACTATGACCTATAGTGGGATTTAAAAACATTGCCTATAGAAAATATAGGCTTCTAAAGTTTCCACGAGCGCACACACATTTAAGGTTTGACATGTTAGGTATCTAATTGCTTGGTGCAACCTCATCTTTTATATTTTAACAAAAATTGGGTAATTTATTGCCTTAATGTTCCCTAAAATAAATTTTAGGGTTTTTAACTGAAATTTTGCATTTTGTATACCTTTGCAGTCATATTGTATGACATAAAAAAATTGGAACTACCCGTTTTATTCTCTAGGGTGTCTGCTTTTAGAAAATATCTAATGTTTTCTGGGGCTTATGTAATTTTAAGGTCTAAAGTGATTTTTTAAATGCATGCAAAAACCACATAGAGGACTCTGGCAGCAAAAGGGATAAAGTTAACCTTTAGGAACATGTAACATGTTCCCCGCTCTTGCTCGACTATCCAAGCCCTCTCTGTGACAACAGTAAGGGAAGAAGCGGGGCTCCACCCACACAGCCACGTCATTCATTCACATAGTTCTTTGCAGATTTCCGCTTGTAGTTCTCAATGAACTACCATGTTAGGCGCGCTGGTAGTTCATAAATATTTTTCCTGTCAGTGTGAAACTGTCTGCTCGTACAATGTATGGCCAGGCAGATCACACCAACAGTCTGCAGGAGTCCTGCATTGAACCAGCAATCTCCTGGAAGCTGGCAAAATACTTTCCAGGCTTCTAAAAAAAAAAAAAAAAATTGAATTCACATTTCTTACCTGCAATAATAAATGTGCATTTATTTACTTTTTTTACCACTTGCCCTCTATTGAGTGGTGATGCAATGCTGTACATAAATGAAAATTATGTCCCCCCCCCCCCACAAATAGAGCTCTCTTTTGGCGGTGTTTGTTAACCTCAGCTTTTTTTATTTGTTGCGCTGTAAACAAAAAAAGACCGACAATTTTGAAAAAAAATATATTTTTGACTTTTTGCTATAAAGCATATTGAGTAAAAAAAAAAATTTTCATATCTAATTTCTTAATACATTTAGGCCAAAATGTATTCTGCTACATGTCTTTGCGAAAAAACAAAAATCCCAATACATGTAAATTAACTGGTTTACATAAAAGTTATAGCGTCTACAAATGGTAGTATGTACACTTTTTTTTTTTTTATACTAGTAATGGCGGCGATCAGCGACTTAAAGCGGGACAGTGGTGGGCATTCTGACACTGGGTGGGAACTGCCATTGACATCCCAACAACACTAATACAGTGATCAGTGCTAATAAAAAGCACTGACGCTGGGCAGGAAGAGGTTAACATCTGGGGTGATCAAATGGTTAACTGTGTGCTGTTTTACATTATGTGCTGTGTGTTTTACTAGGGAGACATGCTGCTTTGCATTTCTCTGCTGTGCAGATATGAACATGCTTACTGTTATAGAGGGATATAGGGAGCATACAGTGGATATAAAAAGTCTACACACCCCTGTTAATGTGTCAGATTTCTGTGATGTAAGATAAATGACACAAAGATAAATCATTTCAGAACTTTTTCCACCTTTAATGTGACCTATAAACTGTACAACTCAGTTGAACAACAACTGAAATCTTTTAGGTGGAGGGAAGTAAAATAAAAAACTAAAATAATATGGTTGCATACGTGTGCACACCCTTAAACTAATACTTTGTTGAAGCACCTTTTGATGTGATTCCAGCATTCCATCTTTTTGGGTATGAGTCTATCAGCATGGCACATCCTGACTTGGCAATATTTGCCCACTCTTCCTTGAAAAAACACTCCAAATCTGTCAGATTGTGAGGGCATCTCCTGTGTACAGCCGTCTTCAGATCACCCCACAGATATTTGATCGGATTTAGGTCTGGGCTCTGGTTGGGCCATTCCAAAACTTTCATCTTCTTCTGGTGAAGCCATTTATTTGTTGATTTGGATGTATGCTTTGGGTTGTTGTAAAGCTAAAAGATGAAGTTCTTCTTCATGTTCAGCTTTCTAGCAAAAGCCTGAAGGTTCCCTCTACCTTGGCGAAGGCCCCAGTTCCAGCTGAAGATAAACAGCCCAAACATATCTTTTGGAATTATGGCCAAAAAGTTCAACCTTGGTTTCATCAGACCATAAACACATTTTCCCACATGCTTTTGGGAGACTTCAGATGTGTTTTTGCAAAATGTAGCCGGGCTTGGATGTTTTAGTTCATAAGAAAAGGCTTCAGTCTTGCCGCTCTACCCCATAGCCCAGACATATGAATAATATGGGAGATTGTTGTCACATGTACCATACAGCCAGTACTTGCCAGATATTCCTGCAGCTCCTTTAATGTTGCTGTAGGCCTCCTGGCAGCCTCCCAGACCAGTTTTCTTCTCGTCTTTTCATCAATTTTGGAGGGGCATCCAGTTCTCGGTAATGTCACTGTTGCACCATATTTTCCCCACTTGATGACTGTCTTCACTGTGTTGAACTTTATTTGGGGTTAATCAGAGGCACTTTAAATGATGGCAGGTGTGTACTGACTCCTATTTAACATGATTTTGAATGTGATTGCTTAATTTTGAACACATCTACATCCCCAGTTATAAGAGGGTGTGCACACTTATGCAATCACATTATTTTAGTTTTTTTTTTATGTTTACTTCCTCCCCTAAAATATTTCAGTTTGTTTTTCAATTGAGTTGTACAGTTTATAGGTCACATTAAAGGTGGAAAAAGTTCTAAAATAATTTATCTTTGTCTCATTTTTTTTACATCACAGAAACCCAACATTTTAACAGGGGTGTGAAGACTTTTTATATCCATCGTATAGAAATAATTCAAGTGGGTTACAGACTGCAGAAAAACAGAGGGACACGGGTCGCTGTCAAGAACTACTATACTCTTAAACTAGATACTGTCAGTATGTGGAAACAGTAAAGATAAAAAGTACTTATGAGAGGAAAAAAAAAAAAAAAAAAGATGAAAAACTGATGTAGATACTTAACATAAAACCATAACAAAATGCTGTGCAAACAGGGCATTTATCACAACCGCCATCCCTAAATAAAATGGTGAAGACAACACAAAAATATTTCAGTTTTGACTACATAAAATTTATTGTTTTTTTTCTTTTATAAAAATTTTGTAGAATGAGCTCTTATATTTAATTTCAGACATCTCAACAAGCATTGCGTTTTATCCTTGATCCTATCCATTTCTTGTGTGTCTGATAAATACTGCTTATGCCAGAATTCTGGTTTTAATCGATTTCAAGTCCAGTTCATGTATCTATAAAAGCGATTTCTGGATTGTGTCCGTGCATACGTTGACATCTTAAAGAAAGGGACTTTGATACAGTTCTAACCAATTGTCTTGACTATCTACAAAATTCACTGTATCCTTTTTTATTTATATCGCAAAGCATCAGGAGATTCAAACTTACAAGATTAACAGCTACAATTCAATAAAATAAAAAAAAAGTATATACAAAGCCTCCTGACTGTCAATTCATTTTTACAGTTCTGTTTTTAAATTCCAAAATAAAAGTCCAATTGAATATATATTTATTTAATTGGTGCATGTAACACAGAACATAAGCTTGTTACATGGCAGAAAAGAAAGATGATGGAGTCAACGCCTTGTCACTGGAGAAATTTTCCCCCACAAGTAGCACGTAACCAGTAGGATCGGTCTACAGCTCATTACAAGATGATGAATTTTGTTTTGAATGACAATGTGACATTCATATAGAACGCCAGTTTAAAGGCATGTACAAAATTAGCAATCTACATAAATTAATAACTGGAGGTCCTGAGTATCAGGCGCATGAAAATTCCAGTATATTCCTCAGGGTTTGGCCCTTTGAAAGAAGACCTGGGAAAAAAGAAAAAAAAATGTGTTTGTCTAATGTGCCAAACTGTCAAAACAGTCTGTAAAAATAAAACATTACATACCTTTAAGTAATTCTTAAATACTTTAGCATCTGGTTGCTGAAGAGCTTGACAAAACTCCTGTAAATCACAGCACAATGTGTTTTTTTTTTCAGCAAAAAAAATCTCATCATAAAACAATTTTGAAAATGTAAGCAACAGAAAGTAATGGCAATCAGGTATTCAGAAGAGCTTTGCATACCACTAAGGGCTCATATTTGTTATAGTTTACCTGAATTTTATATTTAATCTGTTTTTTATTATAGAAGTTTAAAAAGGTTCACAACACATAAGTAGCAGGTCAAGATGCATACAATGTGTCATTTCAAGAGTACAATGACCAACTTCAGGCGACCCCTCACATACAGTACGTGGTCAGAGAGAACAAACAGCAGCATGTGAACAATACATATAAAGAAAACTACTCTAAAGACCTGGAACAACAAATGCATATAGTCCATATATAGTGAAAGTTAGGCCAGGAATATGAATAAGAGGAGGCCATTGAGCCTCTGCAGATATTCTCTTGGAAACATGCTCATATATTTCCCACATCTTAGAAAAACTAAACTGAGCACAATATGAAAGCTTCAATGCGTTTTAGCAGGGTACGGTTTAGAAAAATTCAGCCTGCTGCTTTTTTCACTAGTTTCAGAAAACAAAACAAATGCCAATGACACAGCATGCACAATGCAAGCTAACAGACAAATAACAGAACCTTATTTTCTAGAAAAGGCTGCAGCATTAACCTGGTCTGTTAAACTGTATGCAAACCCGAAGAATAAGCTTCTTTTACTTGCTCCCTTTGGCCTTTTAAACCTTCCCACCTGTACCTTGTGTTTTTCACCTGCACAAGATGTGCACCGATGCTGTAGCTTCATGGTATCATTTGTTGCCCTATATGCACAGACTATAGCAGAGTATTTCTTTTAATATTCCATTGTCAGAAGTTCTTTTGTGTTCAAACATGAGGCATGTGACATTACACTGCACATGTCAATGCATGACCGCTGCCTGTAGTCTAATAACGAACACTTCCTGTGAAGAAACTATACAACCCACAATCCCTGGGTATCTCGGTCTAGCATTGGTGCAGGTTACAGCTCAAACAGGCAGAGCAATTAAAGATCACCATGCTGGAAGGTGAGTGTTTTTATCACATTAGCACTCTCATGTTTGTGATGCAACACAAAGGAAATGACAAGGCATAGGCTAACCAGACAGGTACCTACCAGCCCATGGAGTCCAGCGCTGTCTTTCAATGAGGAGATCCTTTGATGGGCTACAGATCCTTGGTGCCAGTGACTTGGATGTGAGAGCCAACTGCACCCACCCTGATGTCTCAGTCAGCTCATCAGGCAGCACTAGGAGTATTGGTCCTGCAGCGTCCTGGGACATGTGTCAGAGAAGATACACACTCCCAAAAGAAAGAGTTTGAAAATTAGTTACAGGCTAGAGGCAGAAAGGGGATAAGCGGCACTTCAATATTTGGGTGAAGGTCCTGGTTTTAATTAATTTCTTGCTATTACCATAACTTACCACCAAAGAACATTCAAAATGCAATCGTCAGGAGCAGAATTTAACTATACCATATGTGTACATTTGTTGTTTGCACACAGATACATTTTGCTTTTTATTTTTAATCTTACCTAAAACACACTGACACTTATATTACCCCCGCCGAAGCTCTGCCTTTGAGTGAAACATGCAGGGTTTTGTTCACTTTGCCATTTTCTTTTGAGCACTTTTTTTTACTGGAACATGTGGTCACTCCTTCCTAAAACTTCTTAAGGGCAAGGAGTACTGCAGTTTTTCACAAGATATGCTGATCCCATTAGCCAGTCAGGAATTTTTGGCAGATATGGTGAAGTTACTGCTACATGGAGGAGTGTACCCATACTGGATATCTATAGTAAGAGTTTGTCTACTGATGACAAACTTACTATATGACTCAGAGCCTTTGTACTCGTGCAAATGCTTAGTATCAGCACTGATACCGGTATAGGTGCAACCGTATTAATCAGCTAATATACTTGGTGTTCTAATTAGAAAAGCTGCAGTGTCTGCATTAATTTAGAAGTGATTACACCTTGCAGAGTTACTTACATTTCTATTGAAGGGGTGCCTAAAATTTTACTTCTCTTAGTGTAGACTTCTGGGAAAATCAGCGAGCCAATCGTACAAGCAGGAAATTACTTTTTAGGAGGCCTTCTGTTCACCAGCTGTGTACAGGATGCCTCCAGTTGCCATATGGCAATGAATTTTACAGAAAAATGACAGCACCGCAGATTGCAAAGGAAAGATACATTTTTAAAAATATAACAATGCTTGTGTAGCAATTATAGTTACCCTTTAAAGAAATGCACAACACACCGCAAGGGACTACACCAGTGTGAAATGGGCCTTAGTCTTCACTGAATAGCAGGTCATTATTTCCCTGTGTGTTTCTCCCCAAGCTATAGGTATTTTTTGCAGCTTACAGGAATGGTGTTATGTCACATTAATGCAAACAAAGAATCGATTGTGAGCACAGTGTAGAGCCAGCAATGGTTTGTTTAAACAAGCAATAAATGCATCTACTGGCATAAATTTAACCTGTGTATTTTTACCTATATTATTACTCATATTTTGCAACATTTTCTTATTTACCTGGATAATTTCTGGTGCCACCTGCAAAGATGGTAGATATTCTTGCTGTAGATACTGTATGCATTCCGGTCCCTATAGAAATATATTGAAAGTAAAATAAGCAAACACAGTACAGCTAGAAGTAATTTTAATTTCTGATATGTGGAAAGCATGATGGCGCATTCTTAGAACAGATGTATGTCTCAGTCAATCACATATCTAAAAAGTAGGAAAAAAATATTCCAAATTTAGGACAGTGGCATAACGCATACAAATAATTCCTTTACACACCAATGGCCAAATGTACATCCAGAAAAGCCGATACTACTCCCAAATGGTAAAGTCAGCAGGTCAATCTAACATCCAGTCAACTAGAAGTTGTCTGGCTGTTAAGCTGACCCTGTAGTTTTAGAACAGGCCCAGAACAAAATATTAAACTCATGAAAAATGGGGCAAGAAAAAAAAAAACCCTGCACAACACCACATAAATGTGCCAAAGCTTAAATCAAAGCACTGAAGTTATTTAACATGGCAACAAGGATGACAGTGTCAGCCTCCATGTTCTTCTCATGACAGGATTCCAATAAAGTAGAACTTCAGGACATAAACGGGAATTTTTCTTTGAGCACACAAAGCATCTTCATAGCAATGATGTCAGGGTTACACTGCCACCTTCAGGTGATTGGACACTGGCAAAAAAAGACAGGAAATCCCCTCCAGAAATAACTCCTGCCCATTAGGCAAGGCTTCAGTTTTTGTAGCAAGCCATGAACCACAAAGGAAGAGGGGAAAGATTTCCCCCGTGGTGTACGATTTTACAGATAACCCAAAATCCCATTTTTGTATTTGTAGATCACAGAGCATCTCCATAAAAAAATAATAAAAAAAAAAAAAATATATATATATATATACATATACATATTACACACACACACACACACACACACACACACACACACACACACACATATATATATATATATACACACACACAGTGGATATAAAAAGTCTACACACCCGTGTTAAAATGTCAGGTTTCTGTGATGTAAAAAAAATTAGACAAAGTTAAATCATTTGAGAACTTTTTCCACCTTTAATGTGACCTATAAACTACACAACTCAGTTGAACGAAAAACTGAAAGCTTTTAGGTGGAGGAAAGTAAAAATAAACTAAAATAATATGGTTGCATAAGTGTGCACACCCTTAAACTAATTCTTTGTTGAAGCACCTTTTGATTTTATTCCAGCACTCAGTCTTTTTGGGTATGAGTCTATCATCATGGCACATCTTGACTTGGCAATATTTGCCCACTCTTCCTTGCAAAAACACATCAAATCTGTCAGATTGCGAGGGCATCTCCTGTGCACAGCCCTCTTCAGATCACCCCACAGATCTTGGTTTCATTTTTTTACATCACAGAAACCTGATATTTTAACAGGGGTGTGTAGACTTTTTATATTGTGTGTGTGCATACACACACACACATATATACAAATATACATACACACACATATATATATTGATAGCACTTAACAGTCCAACGCTGAAACTGACAATGAAGGAACAAGTCATCTGCTCCTCTTGTCCAATCATAAAAAGCATTGTATTCTTGACACTGAATACAAGGCGTTATGAGAATTCATGAATGGAAAATACCATGTTCTACCCACCTCTCCTGCATTTACAGAACACTTGCATTCAGTGAAAAAAATACAAGGCTTTTTTTGAATAGGAGAGAAAGTAACTTGAGCCTTTACTGTACAGTAGCCAGAGTTGTTAGCTGTAGCACCCAATGTTTAAGGCTAACAGTAGTATCTAGAAAGAATAAAACTAGAGTTTTTAACATCCCATCCCCCCTTGTGGACAAAGTAAACAGCTTTGGAGAGAAAAAAAAAAAAAAATCAAAGGACCAAGCAAAATTTACAATGCACCCAATTTTCTGGAGTTCCACTTTAACCACTTCCCGACCAGCCGTTGTATATAAACGGCCGGACGGTGGCACTGCAGGGTCGGGTGGCCGTCTATAAACGGCCTCCCCGCACCCTGCTTGTGCGCGCTCCTTGGGAGCGCGAAGCACCGCGATCCGGTGCCCGCTGTGTCCTCCGGACACAGTGAAACACCGATCGTCGGACGGGACCTCTGTACGAGGTCCCGATCATGTGATCACTGATTGGCCAATCAGTGATCACATGCAAAGTAGTAAGCAAGATGTCACTTCTGACATCATTGCTTACTATGTGTGAAATCTGTGAATGATCACAGAGGTCACATGGTACAAGGCTATTCACAAAAGCCTTGTACCATGTGACAAGCTGTGACCAATCACAGCTCACTCAGTTCTTCTCTATGGTGCAAGAATGCACACAGAGAGAAAGATAAATGATTGCTTTTACATCCTATATGGGTGTAAAAGCAATCAGTGTAAAAAAAAAAAAAAAAAATCTTCATCACCCCTCACAAGTAGTACAGTGTCACCATGGTGACACTGTACTGCTAGGGTGACAGTATGTAAAAAAAAAAAAAAAAATAAAAAAAATATAAAAAAAAATAAAAATGTAAAAAAAATGTTTTAAAAATTATAATTGTTGCTTATAAACTAATTTGGATTTTTTTTTTTTTACTAAAAAGATAACGGAATAAATTTTGGCTAAGATTTATGATGAAATATTATTTGCAAAATTTTATAAAAAAAAAACACTTTTCAAAATTTTTGGACATTTCATTTACATAGCAAAAAAAAAATACAAATCCCAGTGGTGAATAAATACCACCAAAATAAAGCTCTTTATCTATCTCAAAAAAATGGTAAAAAATTCATTTGGGTACAGTGTTGCATGACCGCTCAATTGTCATTCAAAGTGTGATAGCGCTAAAAGCTGAAAATTGCCCTGGTCAGGAAGGGGGTAAAAGTGTCCGGTCTGGAAGTGGTTAAAGTAAACCTGCCCAGTTCAAAGTATTTAAACTACGATCACTAATAAAAAGCAGGTAAAGAACCTACATTTGTCTTCTAACCAGTGCCTATTTGCTAAGTCTTTGAGGAACATCATTTTTCATGGGACATCTTACCCTTTTTAGGTATATGGTTTTCATGGTCACTGCACACTCTGACAAAGCCTACAGACAAAGGAAGTTGTTTTAATGCCAATACAATGGTTACATTTTTTACAGAGCTATAAGATGTTTAAAATTATAATAGGAAAACTATATCAGAACTTGTTCTTTACACACAAAAGACAATATGAACAGAAATGTAGATCCTTGTGTGAGGTGAATGAGTGAGATAGATACTAAACCAAACCCCCCCCCCCCCCAAAAAAAAAACCCAAAACAAAACCAAACTATAGAAAGTCACGTCACACAGAAAACATACTATTTAACCTAGTCAGGGATATAAGAAAACACCCCTGACAACTGCCATTTTACTGCCCAGTAAAAGCACTCTGGCTGAACAGATATAATAGCTTATGGAGTTTAGCAACAAGTCATTGGCAGTAGTTTGCTTATTGTTGATAAGCTCACTGGGGAATTAAGGCTGCCATCACACTGATCAGTAGCAAAAACATATGAGTTTTTACCAAATTTACAGTGCATTTTTACAGGACATGCAGCTCAAAAACCGCACTAAAAACGCAGGTGGGTTATTGATGTGTTTTTGCAGAGTTCTCCATTCATTTCAATGGGGAGGTGCATTTTTAGTGTTTTTTGTTTACCACACCAAACCTGCATCAAAAATGCAGCAAGCAGGATTTTGAAAAAACACAGTGGACCCGCAATGGATTAGTGTAAAGAGTTTCATAAGATTTCATGGTCATTTCATGTTTCTTCAACTTTCTTTAACGCAACAGTGGAAGAAAAAACAGGGATCAGTGTAAAAGCAGCCTAAAATGGGGTAAGAAAAAAAAACAAAAAACAAAAACAAACAAACCAGGATAAGCATTTAATCTTTTTTCCATGTGCCACAGACAGAACAATGCATGTTAAAATAGGAGACAAGCTATAGCATTACTAGAGTGCCGACCTACCAATATGGTTTGGGCGTCTGCAAGGTCAAAAGTTGGTTTCAGGGGAGCCAAAAAGCATGCAGGAAAAATATGTTTGTAAACAAAATCTGCAAAGCCAACCAATCCATCTTTACCACCTGGAAAAAAACAATTAAATTAGCTTCTAAAAGAAACAGTTTCAAAATAAGAAACCTGTAATACAAAGCAAAAAGGTACTCACCCCACAGTTCTACTAATTTGGAGAGTATAATGAAGCACGTTTTTTGAGCAATGGGATCTGGATATTCTACAGCTCCTTGAATGACTGTAAATATTACACGCTCCACATTCTCAGCATCTGTACCATAAACAGAGGAAGGTCATTCTATATGTATTGAAGTATTTAATATATGCTAAAGACTGAAAATCTAATTTAAAAGATATTCACAAACATGTCAAACACCAGTGTTATATTTAATGTGCATCTAAACCCAAAAATAAAAATGGATAGTATTGCAGAAGCTTACCAGTCCTTAAATGAAGTGACTTTTTTTTCACACTTTATTTTCAAACTTGGTAATCCTGCCACTAACACACTTCCTGTCCGTGGGTGACATTGTCCTAAACAGCATTGTTACCCTAGGGCAATGGAGTGTGTTAGGTCTACAAAACGCCTCCCTCTCTTCTCCATAACACGAGGAGCCGTTTTGTAGTCCACAGAGATAGCAGGGAACAATGCTAACTGATTGCTTGTGCTTGTTAACAGTTCATAAGACTTCTTGCTGATAAACAGCTTTTTTGCAGTTGTTGGTCAGATACAATAAAACATTTTCAAAGGAATATTAAACGGACCACGGAAACTGAGCAAATAAGAGAAATGTAAGGTTAGAGTTTACATATACTAAATATTTTGTAGCTTCTTGGTCTCTATTAAGCTGTTTAGATATACATACATACATATTAAGCGGTTTCTCAAACAAAAAAAAAAAAAAAAAAAAGACACCCCATGTATGTTAAAAGCTCATCCCTTCACAAAATTGAAATCCATTTAACTAATATCATGACTTCTGAAGGCAATTGGCTGTACGGAGGTTTCACAACAAATTCATACTTCTGCGTCTGTAAATAATTTGGTAAATTTAAAATTTTTGCCTTCTTCAGCATTATGGACTATTTTCTGTACACGTGCCATCAAATTACAATTAAATTCCAACATGTTGTACTAAAAGTGTGTAAATGTCCAAGGAACTGATTATGCAAAGACCTGTATATGTTCGCTTACATTTTCATATAATGCAATCCTATATACTAAAAGTCATACCGATAAAATGTATAGGGGTCCTAAATCAAGTGAAGCACTAAGCACATTGTCGTGCTTCATAAATGTGCCTCTTAAATTTAAAGCAGTGCTATGGCCACACTAATTGCATACCACTGCTTTTAAAGAGACTTTCTAGTATTATCTCGACTGATGAGGAACAAAAACTGCAGTTAGGAAATCCAACTGCTGGGTCAGCACAGAAGCAAAAAGAAAAAAGGTATGTTGCAGTACAAAAAACCTGGACACAACTTCAGGCTGAAAGCATGAGAAATCAAATCAAGTTATAATTTACTTTGCTATATCTACTAACCCTGATTGGCAATGACCTCATTCATTCCACTTCCAGTAACTGTTTGAAGAAAGGCGAAATAGCTTCTTCGTAACATTTGTTTATCTAAAGCAGCAGACTGGTCATTTTCTTCTGAAGGGCGGGCTAGCACCTCAAATATAGCATGAAGAAGTGGCATGAAGACTTGCTGTAGGAAAGGTGACCACTTGGGCCTACGAAAGAAGTTCGATAAAGCCAATTAGTACAACAGGCTTTGCAAAAAAATTGGCTATTGATTACTACTTTGCATATCTGTTACTTTAAAATGTTTTAAATTTAAAAAAAAAAAAAAAAATACAGGTTTTAAAATTTTAATTCAATGAGTACCAGATAGAAGACTAGACGGTACAAGACAGAAGTTACAATACTTTCTTGCGACTGAACATTTGTAATCTACTAATCATGTTCATATGGATAATTCATTACTGCACGTTACCATCTTGTGTCTGCTCTGCTGGAAAAGACAGAGGAGATGGAAAAGAGTAGTAAGCAGCAGAATTAGAGAGTCTGTATGTGTGTTATAGCATTTATCATCCAGCTACACTGGAGTCTGAGAGTTCCATGTAGGACATCAGACAGCTCCTAAATTAATACCTTGAATTTGGCAGTAATTTGGTTAATAAGAGGAATGAATTCTTGCAAGTCCTTTGCTTCACAGTCTTTCAACATGTGCTCTGAAGCAGTAGGGATGAAAGGAAGCACTTCCTCCTCCAAGCAGATGATCATACGATGAAGGAAGGTTCGGACACCACCTCTGAGAATTTCCTTTTGAACAGGGCAACTTAGTGCAGGCAGGAAGCATTGTAAAACAGTCCAAATAAACCCCAGAACAGCCACTCTGTTTCACCGTTTGTTTATTACTAAAAGCTTTACTTGTACGGCTGAAGAGGAAAAAAAAAAAAAAAATAAAACATTAGTAGATTGTGAAAATACTTTGATAACAGTAAAATCATGCACAGCCTGGACCTCCTTTTTGGTCTCAGCACCACTGACACTAAAGTGGTTGGTGAGGAAATAAGCCCAGTTGACAATACACTAAATATATTTTGGCCACCACTCCTGACTTTCACTTCTACATATGCTAGCTGTTTGACCATCATTTGTTCACCGAAAAAAAAAGTACAGAAAATAGGACTTTCACACACACTGTAAAATGCTTTTATTGGAATCCACAAAGGAACACAAAAAAGTCTTTCACCTGCAGGTTATACTGCTGCCTACATGAGGATTGGACACTAGCATAACCAACAAAAACTGTAAACCAATCCAGGATAACCCCTCCTTCTACCAGCATGTCTTCGTTCTGTAGCATAGTAGTACCAAAAGGAAAATCACAAACACAGAGGGACAGGACATGTTGCCCCAATTGAGAAGATTTTTCGATGACTCAAAAAAACCTATGGTTTTTTGCATCCTTTGGGAGACACCGGTAGCCTTTCACCTTCAGGATGTCCAAAAGCAATACAACTAAAGGGTGGGCAAAAAAAAAAAAATAAAATAAGGATGGGTCCTAGAAAAAAAAACAAACAAAAAACTGGGAACTGCCTGCAGCTCAAAGAGCAGACTAAAGGCCTTTATATCCAAAGCCAGCATCAATGAGGCCACAGCATCCACCTGGTAGAACTTAAAGAACAAGTTTACCTTTTAAAAAATAAATAAATAAATGCGTATGTTTTGCAGGTAAAAAAAAAAAAAAAAAAAAAAAATCAGGGGTGCCATGCAGATACACAAAAATCAGGAAAACCCTCCGGGTAGACCTATTGTTTCAGCTATCAATGGTCCCCTAGATAAAACAGGGAAATATATAGATTTGTTTCTTAAAGACATGGTCCCTAATCTCCCCTCCTATGTAAGGGATACTAAAGATGTGTTGGCGAAAATTGAGAATATGATTATCAATGATAATTCCATTCTAGTGGGAATAGATGTGGAATCACTTTACACCTCTATCCCACATGAGTGTGGTGTGAGATCAGTCTCTTATTTTCTTGATAGAACATATCCTACATCGGGGGGACAGAATGAGTTTATCAGTGAGTTATTGGAATTTGTATTAAAACATAATTTTTTCCAATTTAATAATACCTTTTATCAACAGACTAGGGGCACCAGCATGGGAGCACCGTGGGCTCCGGCCTATGCATGTCTCCACTTGGGGTTTTGGGAGGAGTGGGTTGTATTTAGATCACCAAGATTTCTCGCAAATGTCAGATCTGGTTTAAGATATATAGATGATGTGTTCCTAGTATGGCAGAGGAACATCTGAGGAATTAAAATTGTTTTTGGGAGAGCTCAATCAGAACTCCTTTAACATTGGAACTCACATATATATTTGATGAAAGATGTTTCTCTTTTCTGGATCTGGAGATTAGAGTCGAAAACGGAAGACTCCTTACAAAGACATATAGGATACCCACTGCAACACCCTATTAGAGGCAAGAAGTTATCATCCACGTTCACTGATTTCAGGGATTCCAGTGGGACAGGTTCTGAGATGTCGGAAGAAATAGTTTATCAATGACTTTAGGATGGAGGCTCAGGACCTCTATAGAAGATTTAGGGAAAGAGGATATTCCATTCCCAAATTTAAATGCTCGGAGACGGGCATATTCAAACTGACCGTGAGGACTTACTATCCTCTAAAAAGGATGTGAAGGTCAAGTTGAGTGACCAACCAGTTAGAGAATGATAACCCAATTTGGAGCCCAATGGCAAGATGTAAAATTGATATTAGAAAAACATTGGAAGATTTTGACTCAATGCCCAGATTGAGTAAGATTGTAGGCGAACGCCCCCAGATGGTAGCGAGAAGAGCACCGAATCTTGGTGATATTTTCATCCTTATTCATTCAGATTATCACCCCCCCACCAACAAAAACAACAAAACAATCAAGATATTAATATTAATAAATATACCATTATAATAATACAAAAACACAAAGAAAAGGATAACTCGCGTAAAAGGGATGTTTAAATTGGGAAAAATGTCAAATTTGCAAATACGTGGATCGTACGATTCTTTTCATGATTCAGGAAATAATATTATAAAATTCAGAGTCTCATAAATTGCTCTACAGTAAAAAGAGTATTATACATCTTAAATTGCCCCTGTAAAAAGAATTATGTAGGTAGACCAAAAGACAACTTAAAGTACGAATTAGGTGTGAACATCTTAGAGACATTAGATCAATGAAACCTGATAGTAATTCTTGCCCAACATTACGTTAAATATCATGGAGGAAAATGGATGGTACGAAAGTGAAAAGGTTTCTATGCACTGCACTTTCCACAGAGGAGAGGTGATTTTGATAGAGAATTGCTCAAAAAGGAAAAATTTTGGATTTATAAACTTGATACATTGCACCCTAAGGGGTTAAAATGTGGAATGTGATCTTCAAGTATTTTTTGGAAAAAATAGTTATAGCTTATGTACCTTATCATTGTTCATGTGGTGATTAATTTGTGGAATTTCCCTGTTTTCACAAATATGTCTCACTTAATCCTAAAAAAGTATATATGTATATGGAAACAACCAAAAGACAATATGGATGATCTCGAGCTGAGTTTAAATATAGCTCCAAACAAAAATGTATCAGGACGGTATGTTGAGCTAATTTCTGTCTATGTACCTTTTTGCTTTAATAATTACTATACCATGGGATGATTTTTTTATTTATTTATTTTTTTTTTAAAAATTGGGGCGTATTTCTGTTGAAGTGACCCTTAATGAGAATTTCATGCTATTATTTGCCCATCTTGTGGTATATTTATGGGAATTCATTGGGGTTTTTTTTTGATAATTTGATTCAGTGGATAGACTTGTCGATTCTCTTATTAATATCGCCACCTTCTGGTTAGAATGTGATGGGTGCTTTAGTTGACGAATATATTTAACACATGAGTTTTTGATCAATGTATGCATCATCAAAATTACTAAAATTTCTCTCCTTTCTGTTGTCTCCGGATGTCAGTCTTTTTTATATTTAACAATGACCAGCAGCTGTGCTAAGTATTTAGCCCTTTCTTTCCATTGGGAATAACTGCAGGTTGGTGATTTGCATGAATGGGTGGGTCTTAACAAACCACATAAATAGGCAATTGAAATGCGGTTGTTTCATTGTCCTGACGAAGCTGAGTGAGATCGCCCATCGGCGAAAATAAAAAAAAAAAAAAGCGTTGACGTCTACGTCAGATACGTCACTTCCGGTTCGCACTAGGTGGAACGCCGCTGACCCATAGGGAGGAAGCCATCTTCACAAGCCATGAGGCAAGCTTAAGCAGCACAAGCGCCGAGAAGGGGCTGGAACCCGCGGTATATCGGCGGATGTCAGCGGTGGTTCCTTGGCCGCCTTGGCCCTGTATGGCAGTATCTATGATAGGACTTTTCTTTCATTCTGTTATCCATAGCACAGGTGGTGAGTGGATCGTTACAGACATTAGATATATGGTCCTCTGTGATCTATATGACCTATATATCTTCCATAGAGTGTTAGCTTCTGTCAGTGACTTTCCACATATTGTTTGTTTCACTACAGGATGGGGACATTATGGTGCTATGTATAGGAAACAAGATATACCATCATATATATCTCAACAGGCAGAAGAGTCTCTGGGATGTGTCGTATCTTTTCCTACAAAAAGTGGTGTATAGTCCACATGTAGTGGTGAAGAAACCATTTCAAGCAGAATGCTGCTGTGTGCATCTTTTCTCCTCCTGGAAATAAATGGGGCATATTCCATCTAGAGCTTTAGGAAACAGCTATCAATATTACAGATGAATGGGCCCCAACCACTTGTGCCGGCACAGGAATGTATTGTTTAATATATTTGACATTTATGTCTTTCTTCATACAGGCCTGAGGCCTGCTACTCTCCTTTTTGACGCATTTTGTGCTTGCTCAATTGCATACATGTGATATACACATTATAGCATATTTTTGGATTCCTTGATAGGGATTTGCCATTATGGTTACTGCTTAATCCTTATATCTCCATTTGGTATGCCCATGGCATAATTTTTGGATACACCTCCCTAGGGAAGTGTTCACCTATGTGTTTGTGCTACAGGGACACTAGACTCATGTAGCCATTTTCCCTGCTGTACACACAACATTTAGATTCTCAGGTGTCATTTTAAATGGTTTTAGGTCTGTGTGTATTGTCTCATACTGAGGTGATGGGTAAACCAGGGCATATGCCCATATGTCATATTATATATATGTGTAATAAAGCATAATTTTTGGAAAACCTATTTCCTGAGTGTCACGTTCTGTTCATTATGTAGCCGCTTTTCTGTGAATCTCTTTCACAACCCTCTTTTTTTTGTATGCCTCTTTTGGCTACTGAATGGAGACCATACATTGGGTGACACGCTAATTTATCCAATAACATCTTAAATAATTATCTTAGTATATGTGCCATGCAGGACTCCAGCAGACTTGTCAATGTATCTGTGTGCTTGTTACCTCATACGAAGCAGGTCAGTACACAGACAAGAGACAATGAACTTATACAGCACTCAACAGAACCGTGGTGTCCATTGAGAATTAGAAGCCAACAGTCACAAAGGCTGTCAGTACTTGTTTTCAATTCATAGAATTCTGTGAAAACGCCACGGGCCGGGTGGGGTATTTCCCCAGAAGGACAGGACTTGGATGCTGTCACAACGCTTGTAAGTTCCGAGACGGCAGTGTGGTAATCTCTTGGCATTTATATGTGATATTGCACAGGGACTGCTAAATTTGGGTATTTTAAGCTGTACACATCTGGTGCGAACTGGCACCTTTTTAATGCGAGTGCAGATAATAACATTTTATAAAGGGATAAAGCACTAGGGTAGTGTTATTCTTTATATGTGGTAGAGTGGAGTTTAAGGAATAGA